GGACGGACCGGGCCTGCGGCCCGTAGCCCAAACTGCCAAACGTCACTTTCTGAACCGACTAGAAACTAGCGCCAAGCCTTGACTTTGCCTGCCAGCTTTCATCCTGCACAGCTCTGGGCCAAGGACCCCCTCGCAGGGCCAAAACACCATGGCAGTGAAGGACGGACCGGGCCTGTGGCCCGTAGCCCAAACTGCCAAACGTCACTTTCTGAACTGCCTAGAAACTAGCTTCAAACTTTGCTTTTTCTAGCTCCAAGTGTTGATTTTGCCTGCCAACTTTCACATCCTGCACAGCACTGGGCCAGGGACCCCCTCGCAGGACCAAAACACCATGGCAGTGAAGGACGGACCGGGCCTGCGGCCCGTAGCCCAAACTGCCAAACGTCACTTTCTGAATTGCCTAGAAACTAGCTTCAAACCTTGCTTTTTATAGCTCCAAGCCTTGACTTTGCCTGCCAACTTTCACATCCTGCACAGCTCTGGGCCCAGGACCCCCTCGCAAGGCCAAAACACCATGGCAGTGAAGGACGGACCGGGCCTGCGGCCCGTAGCCCAAACTGCCAAACGTCACTTTTTGAACTGCCTAGAAACTAGCTTCAAACCTTGCTTTTTCTAGCTTTTTCTAGCTCCAAGCCTTGACTTTGCCTGCCAACTTTCAAATCCTGCACAGCTCTGGGCCAAGGACCCCCTCGCAGGGCCAAAACACCATGGCAGTGAAGGACGGACCGGGCCTGCGGCCCGTAGCCCAAACTGCCAAACGTCACTTTCTGAACCGACTAGAAACTAGCTCCAAGCCTTGACTTTGCCTGCCAGCTTTCATCCTGCACAGCTCTGGGCCAAGGACCCCCTCGCAGGGCCAAAACACCATGGCAGTGAAGGACGGACCGGGCCTGCGGCCCGTAGCCCAAACTGCCAAACGTCACTTTCTGAATTGCCTAGAAACTAGCTTCAAACCTTGCTTTTTCTAGCTCCAAGCCTTGACTTTGCCTGCCAACTTTCACATCCTGCACAGCTCTGGGCCCAGGACCCCCTCGCAAGGCCAAAGCACCATGGCAGTGAAGGACGGACCGGGCCTGCGGCCCGTAGCCCAAACTGCCAAACGTCACTTTTTGAACTGCCTAGAAACTAGCTTCAAACCTTGCTTTTTCTAGCTCCAAGCCTTGACTTTGCCTGCCAGCTTTCATCCTGCACAGCTCCGGGCCAAGGACCCCCTCGCAGGGCCAAAATACATGGCAGTGAAGGACCGACCGGGCCTGCGGCCCGTAGCCCAAACTGCCAAACGTCACTTTCTGAATTGCGTAGAAACCAGCTTCAAACCTTGCTTTTTCTAGCTCCAAGCCTTGACTTTGCCTGCCAACTTTCACATCCTGCACAGCTCTGGGCCAAGGACCCCCTCGCAGGGCCAAAACACCATGGCAGTGAAGGACGGACCGGGCCTGCGGCCCGTAGCCCAAACTGCCAAACGTCACTTTCTGAACCGACTAGAAACTAGCTCCAAGCCTTGACTTTGCCTGCCAGCTTTCATCCTGCACAGCTCTGGGCCAAGGACCCCCTCGCAGGGCCAAAACACCATGGCAGTGAAGGACGGACTGGGCCTGCGGCCCGTAGCCCAAACTGCCAAACGTCACTTTCTGAACCGACTAGAAACTAGCGCCAAGCCTTGACTTTGCCTGCCAGCTTTCATCCTGCACAGCTCTGGGCCAAGGACCCCTCGCAGGGCCAAAACACCATGGCAGTGAAGGACGGACCGGGCCTGCGGCCCGTAGCCCAAACTGCCAAACGTCACTTTCTGAACTGCCTAGAAACTAGCTTCAAACTTTGCTTTTTCTAGCTCCAAGCGTTGACTTTGCCTGCCAACTTTCACATCCTGCACAGCACTGGGCCAGGACCCCCTCGCAGGACCAAAACACCATGGCAGTGAAGGACGGACCGGGCCTGCGGCCCGTAGCCCAAACTGCCAAACGTCACTTTCTGAATTGCCTAGAAACTAGCTTCAAACCTTGCTTTTTCTAGCTCCAAGCCTTGACTTTGCCTGCCAACTTTCATCCTGCACAGCTCTGGGCCCAGGACCCCCTCGCAAGGCCAAAACACCATGGCAGTGAAGGACGGACCGGGCCTGCGGCCCGTAGCCCAAACTGCCAAACGTCACTTTTTGAACTGCCTAGAAACTAGCTTCAAACCTTGCTTTTTCTAGCTCCAAGCCTTGACTTTGCCTGCCAACTTTCATCCTGCACAGCTCCGGGCCAAGGACCCCCTCGCAGGGCCAAAACACCATGGCAGTGAAGGACGGACCGGGCCTGCGGCCCGTAGCCCAAACTGCCAAACGTCACTTTCTGAACCGACTAGAAACTAGCTCCAAGCCTTGACTTTGCCTGCCAGCTTTCATCCTGCACAGCTCTGGGCCAAGGACCCCTCGCAGGGCCAAAACACCATGGCAGTGAAGGACGGACCGGGCCTGCGGCCCGTAGCCCAAACTGCCAAACGTCACTTTCTGAACTGCCTAGAAACTAGCTTCAAACTTTGCTTTTTCTAGCTCCAAGCGTTGACTTTGCCTGAGCTCTGGGCCAAGGACCCCCTCGCAGGACCAAAACACCATGGCAGTGAAGGACGGACCGGGCCTGCGGCCCCTACCCCAAACTGCCAAACGTCACTTTCTGAACTGCCTAGAAACTAGCTTCAAACTTTCCTTTTTCTGCTCCAAGCCTTGACTTTGCCTGCCAACTTTCACATCCTGCACAGCTCTGGGCCCAGGACCCCCTCGCAAGGCCAAAACACCATGGCAGTGAAGGACGGACCGGGCCTGCGGCCCGTAGCCCAAACTGCCAAACGTCACTTTTTGAACTGCCTAGAAACGAGCTTCAAACCTTGCTTTTTCTAGCTCCAAGCCTTGACTTTGCCTGCCAGCTTTCATCCTGCACAGCACTGGGCCAAGGACCCCCTCGCAGGGCCAAAACACATGGCAGTGAAGGACGGACCGGGCCTGCGGCCCGTAGCCCAAACTGCCAAACGTCACTTTCTGAATTGCCTAGAAACTAGCTTCAAACTTTGCTTTTTCTAGCTCCAAGCCTTGACTTTGCCTGCCAACTTTCACATCCTGCACAGCTCTGGGCCCAGGACCCCCTCGCAAGGCCAAAACACCATGGCAGTGAAGGACGGACCGGGCCTGCGGCCCCTACCCCAAACTGCCAAACGTCACTTTTTGAACTGCCTAGAAACTAGCTTCAAACCTTGCCTTTTCTAGCTCCAAGCCTTGCCTGCCAGCTTTCATCCTGCACAGCTCCGGGCCAAGGACCCCCTCGCAGGGCCAAAATACATGGCAGTGAAGGACGGACCGGGCCTGCGGCCCGTAGCCCAAACTGCCAAACGTCACTTTCTGAACTGCGTAGAAACCAGCTTCAAACCTTGCTTTTTCTAGCTCCAAGCCTTGACTTTGCCTGCCAACTTTCACATCCTGCACAGCTCTGGGCCCAGGACCCCCTCGCAAGGCCAAAACACCATGGCAGTGAAGGACGGACCGGGCCTGCGGCCCGTAGCCCAAACTGCCAAACGTTACTTTCTGAACTGCCTAGAAACTAGCTCCAAACTTCGACTTTGCCCGCCCTTTGGCTCTGCCACCTGCCAGCTTGCCCGTGTCCTCTCGCAGCTGGCGCGCGCCCTGCACAGGTTCGGTCAAAGGACCCCTCCGCAGGGCCCAAACACCATGGCACTGAAGGACGGATCGGGCCCGCAGCCGGCAGCCCACGGTGCCCACGGTGCCAAACGTTGCCTTCTGAACTGCCTAGAAACGAGCTCCAAACTTAGCTTGCCCGTGTCTTCTTGCAGCTGGCGTGCGTCCTGCACAGGTCCGGCCCCTCCTTTCTCGCTTCCTTTTTTGGGCTTCTTACTCTGCACCTGGCTTCCCTTTCTGTGCCCCCCTCGCTTGCCCCTCACTTGCACTGCACAACACTTGTTGCTTGTAATCTCTTCTCTGACGCGCTCCCCCTGCTGTCGGCAGGGGTCGGCGGATTCGCTTGGATTTGCACTCTCTTTGAAGCTGTGCAGTGCTGAGGAAAGGTGATCGGAGGGGTTGTAGTGTCGCGCTGAATCATAGCAACGCCTCCGGTCCTGCAGTGTTGCTGGCGTCACAGGTTTTACTTCTAAACAGAAAAAGCAATTCGATATCTTCAAACTTCTTCGCACTTCACCATACATATCACGCAGACATACGCAGACTATGTGTCCCCGCTGGCAACATTGTGACCCTTGTATTGTCCCTGTGCAGCAAAGCCATTTTGGACGGCTGCGCGCGAGCATCCTCACTTTGGTTTTCCACTTGTAAGTGAGACGGTGTTGAGGACACTCTTGGTACCATTGGTTGTACCGTTATTTGCTGCAGCTTGTGAACCCACCACGGACTTGCAGAAACAGCAAATGCAGCAATATTGATTTGACACGTGCCATCAAAAATCAATCGCTTGAAAATACGAGTGTCATGGGCTTTCCATTGAGTTGAGGCTTTGAAAGGGAATTTGCTCGCAAAACACTGGCTGGAAGTGAAGCACGCTGGAGTAGTTGCACACGTCTCCAAAGCTTTGTATACTTACAACATCTTATAACATCTTATAACATCTTATAAGATCTTATAACATGATATAACTTGTATACAGGTTCGAAAGTCGGGCAGCACCTGCCATCTGTTGCACCTATGAGCTTGACGGTGTGGGATTTTGGCTCAAGTGAGCCTGTCGGCCTCTGCTGCCCTGAAGGGGCCCTAGCAGTTGGCTCGATTGGATTAAAAGAGGAAGGCGAGAGGTGGAACATCTCTGGAACATCTTGGGTCAGTAGATTTAGCAGCACAACATAAACGTTATAATTTAACATTTAGCAACCTGGAAAAACGGTTTCCATCATTTTCCGAAAAAGTATAGTAACCATCCACATTCAAACATTGCATCCTTGATTCCCTCGATGCCTTGCAGGAAGGAGACAGCAAAAGAATCAACAGTAGTAGAACATATTACAATGCTTGGCGCAGCTTTGCGCCCCACCGTGTCATTAACTGCGAGCAGCTGAGACAGAAGGTTTTGGTGCATCTTGCAACGCTGAGCACATAGACTGAACAGAGACCAGAATCAACCAGAGTGATCCTTTTACCCGGCAAGATCTGGCAAGACTGTTCCCCAGGGTGCATAAATCGCCGCCTGGATGGATGAAAGCCTTGCTCTCAGCCCTGTGATGGTGGGACACCATGGTCACCTTGGCCCAAGTGCCAGACTGTCCTGGCATTGTCCTGGCATTGAGCGTTGTGGAAGGCATTGCCTTGTCGGAAGTAGCCAGTAAATTGGCCCGACTCTCAAGGGACGGAGCCGCGTAGTGCCGTAGCCGCCGTAGCGGTATCAAAATCCTTGTAGAATGTTGTAGATGCTGCTTGCTCTGTGCAATTATTTAATCTTATTCTTGCACAGCACACCTACTTGCCTTGAGGCATTTGCCACAGATCCAGGGTGTTTGAGGCGGGAAAAGGCGCAACACTGTGCGGGGGGAATATTTCAGTATGGTGTCCATTTGCAGAAATGGCTCACTCAAGCATTTTTGTTTGATGTGCAGGAACTTCTCATGGCTAAGCGGAAAGCCACAGCAGAGATTGAGCGACTGCAAGAACGCCTTGACCCCAAGTGGTTATCTTCTGCCTTCCTTAACTCCGCACGAGCGCTTGCCAAACACACTTGCGAGTTGAAGAAATTGAGGCTTGTCCTTTGTAGAGGCACAGCTGCTTTCTGATCTGCAACAGCATACAGCACTGTAGTGCAGCTACAAACAACTGCCTCCTTTCACTTGCCTTGGAGGAGTTGATTGGACCTACTGAGAGTCAGCGGAAGGCAATTGGACATTGTTGACCGTACTTGCTCCGGCGTGCAGAATGCTGGCAACGCGTTCTCCGTTACATTTTCCCATCAGAAATGATCAGAATTTGAGAGCTGATGCATCTACCACGGCGCCTGGACCTGGTTTGTGACGCTGTTCCCTGCCAGACCTACCAAGTCCAGTTGGTATCAGCGAGAGAAGCAGCTCTACGAGTAGCATCTTGGCAGGGCATAATCACGGGCTTCCAAATTCACCAGCTCAGACAAGGGAGGCTTTATGAATTTATGAAAGCTCAGTCACCCCGGGGTTGTTGTCCGTTATTGCCAGTAACGTTGCTTTGACAAAAAGTCAATCACACAAATCGTAAAATGATGTGGAACTGTGGAACCACCAAATTGCATGTGCAAAACTGATGCACTTCAGGCACACAGCTGCGCTGGGTCCATCCCCACTCGATGTGTGGGTCGTTTGGATGAGAGCTGGTGCGCCACCCTGCTCTGTAGCGCCGCTGGAACGATCGACACTTTTCTTGCTCCGTTTTTACGGTTCAATTTGTTGCAAAAGCAAGAACTGTTGACATAAGTTTCTCTGTTAATTTTTCTGCAAGGCTTCGATCCAAGGGTCTCGCAGAACAGGAATGCCATGGGCTGAGTTTGTGACAGTGGGGCGCACTTTCTTGCCAAGGGCAGAGCAGGAAGAGAGCATTTCCATATTTTCAATGTATTTCCGTTCCTTCCGTGATTGTTCAAGTAAGGCAGCATGCTACAGCGTGGATGCGTTTCTGGAGACAATGGAGTTCCATGTGACATTTCAGTACGCCGCTTGCGATACAGCGGAACATGTGCAGATATGCAGTTTCATCATGTTTCATCATGTTTCATCATGTTTCATCATGTTTCATCTAGTTTCTTGACTCTCAGACTTTATCTTGGAGAACTGGCCTTGGGATGCCTTGGGTGTCTTGATGTCGCAGATGCTGGGAGACCCATCATTCTGCCCCTACCACAAACAGACCCTCCAGCCGAGATGGGAGGCACCTGCCAAGAGCTGTGCAGCTTGTGTATCGGATTGCCATGGATTGCCACTGGATTGCCACTGGATTGCCACTGGATGCAAAGTCTTGCTATGTCTTGCTGCCTTGAAGACCTTGATGCTTGAAGGCCAAGGGTGGCTTTTTGCAGCTCAGCCTGGGAGATGTTCGGGACAAGTGGGGCGAAGAGGCCTGGTTTTCCAAGATGCGGGACATTCAAAGTGCCGGACCGTCATTGCTCAGCAGGTAGCTCTTGAGGTGGTGCGCTGTGCCATTGAGCTTGACAGGTGCCTCTTGATGTTTCCCTCCTGGGGAGTATCTTTTCAATTTCACCTTCATTCTTACAGGGCCACGGGTTTGACCGTAAGCGACTGGGAGGGACTTTAGTGGGCACGATGCGCTGAGAGTCTTTTGTTTGCTGCAAATGGTTGCTTATGAAGTTCACCAATATTGGGAACAGCCAGCTCTTAACAAAAATGCAGCTGTTTGCTTTAGCCTCCTGCGCTGGGGTAATGTCGTTTCTTCCAGGCATGATGCGAGCAGACGTCTCGGTGTAGAACTTCCGTGGAAGGAGAAGGACCGGAGCAGTTACAAGTTGGCACTTGGCGCTGACAGCTGGACTCATTTGTGGACTTTCCAGCAAAAAGTCTCACCTCCCAGGAAGATCGTGAAATGAGTGCTGCTGAGGTTGGTTACTGTTGGTTTCCTTCTCCGCCAGCAAAGATAATCAAACAATATCAAACATACATCTGAAAACTCCTTTGAATGCAGACATGTTTTCAGCGTGATATGCAGCGATTCCCAAAGGTCATCGCACTACTAGGGCAGCAACTTGTTGCAGCAAAGTGTTGCGGAGTAGGCGTGCAGCTGAAGGGGTTGGAATCGAAGGTATGCAGTGCTAAGCACCTTAGAGCGATTACAACTAGATCCAGACCGATCTACACTGATGATTGCACTGACGCTGTTGCAGGTCCTGTTTATGATCGGTTAACTGATGACGAGGAGACTTTCGCACTTGGCTGCTTTGTGTCATCAGAAACTTTGCTTGTAGTTTAATTACAGCACCTCGTTACATCGCATTTCTCCAACAGAGGCATTTTGCAAAGCTGCATTCTGGAACTTCACAATGGTTCTTTAAGGAGGAAAGCGAGTGGGGAGGCCTTCCGCGATCAGAAGTGCCTTGGATCATCTTGGATCTAGATGCTTCTGAATTCTGCAATTTTTTCTTTGGCGATCAGAACTATGCAAGCTTGTTTCAAAGCTAACAAGGCTCATACTCTATGATACTCTCACTGAGGCAGTTTCTCCAGCTGACGGCGAGGCTGTATCTCCTGTGCCCGCAAGAAGCAGTTTGCGTTCATTGCAGCAGATAGTATCAAAGTTTCAATGGTTTTTAAGACTGGAAAAAGATATCCATGATGATCCATGTATTATATGTACAATATGATAAGTATATGTATGTATATTTTGAATTATGATATATATATACACATGTTATAATATGTATAAATATATATGTATATATATATATATCCACTACGTGATACATGCGTAGATAAGGGGTGTGATGCTGGAGTGCCAGGGTGGGAGATCAAGAGCGTGGTCAATGCTGGAAGCCATGATGACTGACCTAGGGTTGCAGCCTCAGCATGAAGCTTGTGCTCTCATTTTGGCCAAGCCTTAGACATTGAGTTCCATGCAGGCTCAATACGAGAACTACACCAGGGCCAATTTCAACCATGACCGCGCAACCAATGAGTGAAGGCAGTTGTGAAGGCAGCTCCCCAAGTTTCTGCATCAGAAAGGCAGAGAGGCACAGCCAGGAATGCAGCTGAAATTCTTGTGACCCTATTTGTCTTCGTGCAAGGCATGGAATGCCATGGAGTTGAGGCAAGTCCGTTGTCAAGTCCAATGTCACAGAATAAAACATCCTAAAATTAAAGGACCGGATAACCCCACAAGGCAACTTCTTCCAATAATGAGCACCACATGTTGTAGCGGGGACAGGGAAAGAAGGAAAGACAAAGTTGCGTGTGACAAAGTTGTATATGAAAGATGGTCTGTGACAAAGAAAGATGGTGTGTGTGACAAAGTTGTGTGTGAAAGATGGTGTGTGTGAAAGTGTGTGCGAAAGAGAGCGCCTGACAAAGTTGTGTGTGAAAGATGGTGTATGACAAAGTGGTGTGTGAAAGATGGTGTGCCGAAAGATGGTGTATGACAAAGAGGTGTGTCAAAGATGGTGTGGAAAAAGATGGTGGGTGACGAAGTTGTGTGTGGAAGATGGTGTGGTGAAAGATGGTGTGTGTGACAAAGTGGTGTGTGAAGGATGGTGTGTTAAAGATGGTGTGAGACAAAGTGGTACGTGAAAGATGGTGTGTGAAAGATGGTGTGTGACAAAGTGGTGTGTGAAAGATGGTGTTTGAAAAAGTGGTGTGAAAGATGGTGTGTGAGAAAGTGGTGTGTGAAAGATGGTGTGTGAAAGACGGTGTGTGACAAAGTTGTGTGTGAAAGATTATGTGTGTGAAAGATGGTGTGTGAAAGATGGTGTGTGACAAAGTGGTGTGTGAAAGATCGTGTGTCAAAGATGGTGTGTGAAAGATGGTGTGTGACAAAGTTGTGTGTGAAAGGTAGTGTGTGAAAGTTGTGTGTGAAAAAGAGGGTGTGACAAAGTTGTGTGTGAAAGATGGTGTGTGACAAAGTTGTGCGTGAAAGATGGTGTATGACAAAGTGGTGTGTGAAAGATGGTGTGCCGAAAGATTGTGTATGACAAAGAGGTGTGTCAAAGATGGTGTGGAAAAAGATGGTGGGTGACGAAGTTGTGTGTGAAAGATGGTGTGGTGAAAGATGGTGTGTGTGTGTGACAAAGTGGTGTGTGAAGGATAAAGATGGTGTGAGACAAAGTGGTACGTGAAAGATGGTGTGTGAAAGATGGTGTGTGACAAAGTGGTGTGTGAAAGATGGTGTGTGTGAAAGATTATGTGTGTGAAAGATGGTGTGTGAAAGATGGTGTGTGACAAAGTTGTGTGTGAAAGATTATGTGTGTGAAAGATGGTGTGTGAAAGACGGTGTGTGACAAAGTGGTGTGTGAAAGATCGTGTGTCAAAGATGGTGTGTGAAAGATGGTGTGTGACAAAGTTGTGTGTGAAAGGTAGTGTGTGTGTGTGAAAGTTGTGTGTGAAAGAGAGGGTGTGACAAAGTTGTGTGTGAAAGATGGTGTGTGACAAAGTTATGTGAGAAAGATGGTGTGTAAAAGATGGTGTGTGACAGATGGTGCGTGAAACATGGTGTGTCACAAAGTGGTGTGAAAGATGATGTGTGAAAGATGGTGTGTGGGTGGATGGAGAAGTTGTGTGTGGAGGAGTTGTGTGTGAGTAAGTTGTGTGTGGACAAGTTGTGTGTGTGTGAGTAATTGTGTGTGGACAAGTTGTGTGTGGACAAGTTGTGTGTGGACAAGTTGTGTGTGAGTAAGTTGTGTGTGGACAAGTTGTGTGTGAGTAAGTGGTGTGTGGAGAAGTTGTGTGTGGAGAAGTTGTGTGTGGAGAAGTTGTGTGTGAGCAAGTTGTGTGTGAAGAAGTTGTGTGTGGAGGAGGGGGTGGAGGAGGAGGCGGCGGGAGGAGGGCCGGAGGAGGCGGGAGCGCAGAACCGAAAACAAGAACCCCACACAAAGATGTGGGGAACAATTTGTTGCTGTTGGATGGTGTTTGTCATGTTGGTTGGCACCCCAAGTTGATGCTGAGCGGTGGTGCTGAGCGTGCTGCCAAACTTGAAGTGTAGCGCTTTAGGAGCCAGACACTGACGACGAAGTCGTGCAGGAGGCTCTCCAGGCCGCCCAAAACGTGCCAAGCCGTTTGTGGGGCGTGAGAACGTTGAAATGATCGGGCATGAATCAGAAGAGCCCACCGGGTGCTAGTACGGCCATATACTATAAGACTATACAGTAATATTGTAAAATATAATGCTATTATATACTATTCATGTAGCGTAAGGTGCTGTAATAAGATGATGTGATAATGATATTGTGTAATTATGCGCACACTAGAACACACACTTTTAATCACTTTTTTATGTAGCAATATAATATAGTTAAATATCATTTTCATATCATATAATTATATAGTTGTAAGTTATATACCGATGCAATCATATGCGCATTTATTGAAACAAGAAACATATACTCATATCATGTGCATGAGAGCTTTCCGTGTCAATCTCCATGAACTGTGTGCGTTCATTGCCAAATGAGGAGCAAGGCCTTGCAGAGGAGGCAGCCGAGCAGGACGTCGTTTTCTACGTTTGTTAACCTGTGCATTCAGGTAGTTTATTGTCAAAGGGAGTTTTTAAAGTCTACCCTTCCGTGTTGCAGATCTTTCGATGTCACTGCAATGGATGTCACGGCAATGGATGTCACGGCAATGGATGTCATGGCAATGGATGTCACGGCAATGGATGTCGCGGCAATGGATGTCACGGTGATGGATGTCACGGCAATGGATGTCACAGCACTGGATGTCACGGCAATGGATGTCGCGGCAATGGATGTCACGGTAATGGCTGTCACAGCACTGGATGTCGCGGCAATGGATGTCACGGCAATGGATGTCACGGCAATGGATGTCACGGCAATGGATGTCACGGCAATGGATGTCACGGCAATGAATGCACGGCAATGGATGTCACGGCAATGGATGTCACTGCCATGGATGTCACGGCAATGGATGTCACCGCAATGCATGTCACTGCAATGGATGTCACGGCAATGGACGTCACTGCAATGGATGTCACTGCAATGGATGTTACGGCAATGGATGTCACGGCAATGGATGTCGTGGCAATGGATGTCACGGCAATGGATGTCACGGTGAAGGATGTCACGGCAATGGATGTCACTGCCATGAACGTCACTGCACTGGATGTCACGGCAATGGATGTCACCGCAATGGATGTCGCGGCAATGGATGTCACTGCACTGGACGTCACTGCAATGGATGTCACAGCACTGGATGTCACGGCAATGGACGTCACTGCAACGCATGTCGCTGCAATGGATGTCACTGCAATGGATGTCACGGCAATGGATGTCACCGCAATGGATGTCAAGAGCAATTGACGTCACAGCACTGGATGTCACGGCAATGGATGTCAAGAGCAATGAGCGTCAAGAGCAATGAGTGTCAATAGCAGTGAATGTCAAGTGCAGTGAATGACGAAAGCTTCCTTTTCGCAGCTTCAAATTTTGATGGCAGCCTAGGTCTCACACGGCATGCGTTTTCAAGAGGTACGCGGATGCACGATATCCTGTGTTTTGCAGCACAAAACATATCTCGGAAGATGGATGGGGAAGGTCTGCCGCGCGACGGTTTCGAAACGGCCCCAGTCATGGTCAGATCATGCTCGGATCGGCCCCGCGTTGGAACTGACAGTTCAGGTTTCATTTTCACAGCTTCGACGCATTCAGTTTTTGAAGCAAGTCTTGCACGAAAGCTTCGATTTCACAATTGCACGTTGCGCGTCTACGAAAGCTTCGGTTTCACAGCTTCAACTTGCAGTTCTGAGGGAAGTCTACGAAAACTTCGTTTTCAGAGCTTCAACTGGCAGTTTTAGAGGGAAGTCTTGCTTTCTCAGTTTTTGAAGGAAGTCTCGCACGAAAGCTTCGCTTTGACATTCAACTTTCAGTTTTTGAGGGAAGTCTCGCACGTTTTCACAACTGCAAATTGCACCTTTTGAATCGTTTTGAGGGAAGTCTACGAAAGCTTCGTCTTCACATCTTCAACTTTCAGTTTTTGAGGGAAATTTCAAGTTGAAGCAGCAGGGTTGCGGCAATGAGTTTTCGCTGATTTCTCGTTTTTTGCTGCCTTTCATTTTCCTTTTAAGCTTGTTTTTACAAAGATACAAAGGCTTCAAACTCGTACTTTTTTCGACTTGGTGCCGGGATGTGCCGAGATCCGGTTTCGGAGCAGATTTTGGCCCAGAAAAAACGGAGACGATCTGAGAGTGAATTGAGAAGAGCGGAGATGAGGTGAGAAGAGCTGAGAAAATTCGAGAAGGGTTGAGATGAGCTGAGATGGGATGAGTTGAGACGACTTGACATGAGAAGAGTGGTGAAGAGCCGATAGAAACGAGGGGCTGAGAAAAACTCGGATGACATGAGAAGAGATGGGAACAGTTGAGAAGGGCTGCCAAAAAGAGAGAAACATGAGATGAGATGAGATGAGGTGAGGTGAGGTGAGGTGAGATGAGGTGAAAAACCTTGAGAAGACGGGACATGAGATGAAATGAACTGAAATGAGATGAGATGGGATGACACAGACTGGGGTGACAATGGGATGCAATGAACAAATTCCGGGAGAAGATACGATGCGATGAGACCAGATGAAATGAGAAGAAATCAACCTTTAAAAGAGATGGCGCCGGAATGAAAAGTCAAGAGATTGTTGCTGCGATGCACAGAAGGCTTGGCCGCACCCTATAGGCACAGTCTTTGCTCCGCTCTATAGGCTATAAACTTTTCAATTTTGAAACTTCCGGCCCCGGCTTGCCCGGGCACTACTTGTTGTGCTTTGTATAATTTGGAGTTTATACAAATGGTAGTGGTAGCTGTCTCTCACACACATCAAGTCATGATATCAGAGATCCCAAGAGTAAATCTCCGTAAAACATCGTAAAATGCATCCAAAGCACTCGCCATTTTTGGTTTGTATGTGTGTGTGTGTGCATGTCCACTGCATACCTGGAGTGGACAGCTATGTCCCAAAGCTTTCCGGGAGAATGCCCTGCCAGGAAATTCAGCAGTTACTGCATGACCCTCCAAGCATCGCGCTGTCGTCTCCGAACCCTACCCAGACATGTACCGATTGTGCGCAAAGAAGAGTAGCTGCAAAAATGAGGGGCAATGTGCTGTAAAGAGGTCTCATTGGTGGAATTGAGGCTGACGCCTGCCCAGCCAGCCACGCAGCAAAAATCATCAACGTCCAGGATGGATGATGCCAGCATTTTTCAGATTCAACATGGATTTGCATTTGTAATCATTCAAGTGATTCAAGTGTACACGTGCCAAGTGCCGGACTGATTTGATTCCATCCCATGAGATAGCGGGGTCAGCTGGCTGGGAGCATTCATGGCTAGCGCTTGAAAAGCAGCGACAATGGCCAGGAATATGTTGACATCATCTACAGCGGCAACTCCTTGCTCAGGATCGTCTACCCCAACCAGAGGACCAAATTGCCATGTGGTGTGCAAACGCTTTCTTTACCTCCTTGATTTGTACCTGCCAGGAGCACATACATTGGGCAAGCACCTCAGATGCGGGAAGGGGCAGGGGCAGGATCCAAGATGGCTGTTGCCCAGACAATTTCAAACAGATTTTAAGAAACCTGATTGGAACATGTTCAACAATCCATAATCCTACTGCAGCATCTTGTGGCAACCCGGCACCAGTGATGGCCCGTAGGTTCTCACACTACAAGAGCTTCAAGCCCCTCACCACCTTTGGAGGCATGAGTGCATCGGAGAAGGGCTGACCTTTTTTGTAAAGATCGTGAGAGCACGTGAGAGCTGGATTGAACGCATTCCTGCATCAAACAAAACCATCAAAACCGCAAACAAGAAGATCTTCCATAACAGCAGGGGCATATGCTAATAGAATCTAATAGACTAAACAGACAGGAGACTGAGTCTGAGAGCCCAGGAGTGCAATGGAAGAAAGTGTATTCCCAGAAGTCACTACTGTAGATCTTTTTTGTTGGTGTGCGTTTGTGGTACCTGCATTGGTTACCTGCATGTACCTGCGACATCCTGGAATCCTGGAACAGTTTTTTGTTTTCCAAAAATGCAGTTGCCTTATTGAAGCCTTATTGCATCATGCAAGGCTGGAAATACAGAGGCAATCTCACAAGAGGTGCCTTGCCTGTCTTGTATTGAGCAATGAAGCTGAACCTGGCTCAACCCAGCTGAACCCCGAACCCCCCCTTATAGAACCAGGCTCAACATCCTGGCTCAACATCCTGGCTCAACATCCTGGAACCCGTTTGTTAGGAAGAGGGCAACTGCGTAAGTTGCTTCAGAAGCTTGTTCGGTGGTTAGCTCGATTGCAGGGCATGCATGTTCCGCTTTTGCAGGCTTTAGCCAATGAAACGCTGTTCTTACAGCTTCTTGAGGACCGCCAAAGCATTGTGAGAGAATGTGAGAGAATGATTGTGTTTGCTGCCCGTGATAGCCATAGAATCACAGTTTCAGGACGAAATTGGAGGGGATCTAAATCTGTGCGTCCCTGTCCTTGCCTCGGGACTTCCATTCACCAAGTCATGTGCATGTGCCGTGCTGGTTGTTTTTGCAGTTGTTGAACATTGAGAACACCATCCATGCTCGCTTTTCCTTACCTGGCTGAGGGTTCAGCAGAGACTTCAGGAGCTACATCACCCCTGTCTTCTCTGCCTGGTTCTTGAACCGACCCGATTTGACAGAATGGATGCTGTAAGGATAAATTGTTTAAATACTCCGAAAAGCAGCTCTGAGTTTTCGCTTGAAGCATTGTTTGGTAGGTTCCTCTGAAGGCCACCCATCTCTGGTGCTGAGACTATGGTTATTCGATGTTGTTCGATTTCTGTGGTGGCCTTTCGCGGGCTGATCAATTTGCCTACTTGGCCTCCTGCTTGCTGAGGCCAAGCTCATGATTTTGTTCTGGAAACATGTCCAAGAGTAAAAGATTTTGACTGAGCGCACACTGCACGGAGAATTGACTTCACATATCTTCAGGTATCTTAAAGTACAGTCTTGTCAGAGGAACCTTGTGCCACACATATAATATATATATATAATATTGTAATATATATATATTGTAATATATTATAATATATATATATGATAATAATAATAAAATTAATAATAATAATAAGAATAATTATATATATATATACATATGATAATATATATTTATATATATAATATTATTTACATACATTTATATATAATCATTTGTACAGGTACCATGTGTATGTGAGTCAATTCCAGCACAGCTGCGCATTTTGAAGCTTGAGCGGAGAGCAAATTATTGGAACCATTGTGTACTCCCTCGACGCTTAACATTTCGCTTGTACTGCTTAGCACACCTGCGAATGAAAAAATGCAGCAGCTGCCCGTTGAAGAAGATGGAATAGGAACAGACGAGTTTTTGCCGCACTTCCAAAAGACTCAAGCATCTCAAATCATCTCAAAGTTGAAGCACGCAATCCTTTTGACTCAGTGCATGCAACTGCTTGCAATTCCCCATTCTTCTATTTTTAGCTGGGTCGGTACTCAAACTGAAACCTGATAATGCGAGCCTTTGCCACAAAGTTCATGCCATAATTTAATGTGTTTGCGGGTTTTGATGCACAAGAGCATTCTGAGACGAACATGCTGAAAACAGTCACCCTATGTAACCCTCAAATCTGCTTCAGTCAATTCGAACACTATGTGCTTACATGGGGAGTTCACACTGGTAACGGGTCACGGGCTGCATTGAAAAACAAGGACAGAACAAATGACTTTATGGCAAGACAAGTGAGAAACTGCTGCAATAAACGGTGGCCAAATGTGGCCAAAAGGTATGTAGAAGTCTTCACAAGGGCATGAAACCAGCATTGTTCCTTCGACGCAGTGGAGGCACTTCTAAGTGATGCCTTTACAGCATTTCATACACGATGGGTTCACGTAACGTTGAACTTGTAATCGGAGCCTTCACGCAAGCACACCATCATTTGACCTCCTTAAACCTGATCATAAGGACAGACAAGTGTGTCATGTTTGAGAAAACGGTCGAATATTTTGCCTGAATGATTTGCTGGGGTTACCACAGCAAGGCCATGTGTATGCTCGCCTTCAGTCCGTCTTTTGCTGCTTTTGGCTGGAAGCAACTAGTAGGACACCAGCAGACAGGTTGACATGAACACTTTTTCATTCTTTTTCAACCCATTTTGAGAAATCAGGAGCATTTGCAGCAGCGTCACATGATAGGACAAAAAGGGCTTGATGAAACATGTTCTTTCTTGTCGCATAGACAGCAGGACCAATCATTTTTCTCATTCTCGCCTTTCTTTTTTTCCTTTGATTTTCACAGTTGCATCGTGCTGATGTGCGTCAGAGTAGATGCCAATTGTGCTGTTCCCGAAGAAGGAGTGTTTGACTAAACCATGTGCATGTCCACTGTTCTTTGCGAAAGTTCCTGTTCTTCAGGACAAACCGCAATTGGCACGTGGTTTTTCTCCCAAGGCATCAACTATGTATTTTGTGCAAGATTGTACAGCTCGTGTGGAGTGTGGACATGCTTCAAAGTTTCACCCGAGGCAACTAAGATCAACCAAATGCATCCAAATGCAGATGCATTCCCAGCCGTTATATGGTACTACAATGTACTACACGTTGCTTTGCGTCAGGTAGTGCGGCTAAATGTTCGCATCAAAGAGGATATTGAGGAGGCAAGGTTCGCAGTAATCACCAGAAACAGTTTTCCGCTGAGTGCATTTTTTGAATCATTTTGACAGGCATCCCTGGCGAACATCTCTCGATCTGGGCTGCTGGCCCTCTCCAATGACATCTCATCAAACCGCCAGCGCCTTTCAGGGGCACTTCATGCTGTAAGCAGTTTTTAAGTTGTTACTCAAGGGGAAACATCTCCAAACATCTCCAGTTCAGGTCACGTCACAAAGCTGGACTTCAGGCACTGCTCCGTTGCACAAATGTGTTTGCAGCTTGTCAAATGGAGAAATGGAGTGGTGCCCAGTGGTGCCCAGTGGTGCCCAGTGGTGCCCAGTGGTGCCCAGTGGTGCCCAGTGGTGCCCAGTGGTGCCCTCATGCCTCGATATGCGATGGCTAGGCACGTTTGTTTTGGACCAGAGGAGGGCAGTATTCTCGCAAAAGGGCTGGCGACAAACAGAGGCCTGTCGGGGAGATTAGATATGCTACCTAATTTCCGTTTCAAACTGGACTTTCCAATTGTGTTTTGACATGTGCTTTGTGGCTGTATCTTGAGCTGCGATTCACAACCTGCTTTTAAGCTTTGCACTGCAGCCCTTTGCAGTTCTGCTGGACCTCAACCTGCAGCACAATAACCTTTCCGATGTTGGGACTTTGGCAGTTGCACAAGCTTTGACAGAGCAGGCAGGGCTTTGCCAAGAATGGTTCCGTCATGCTGCGCCATAGTCTGATTGCAAGGGCGGTCGGGTTAGAGGTAGTTATAGGTAGTTGATAAACTCTGATTGGTGGACTAGGTCTTGCTCAGGCCTTCTAATGTTATTCCTGACAGATTGTCTTGAAACATTTTGTCAGTGGAGTGGCGAAGGGAACGCCAAACCTGCGTCTCGCAACCATTGCACTATTACGGCGTGCGGCATTTTGACGAGCACAATTAAAGCTGTAGACATCTGCAACCCCCTCGCTCTATGCTCTTTCCAGGGTGTCCTGGAAGCGCTTACGCTAGATGCGAATGGGATCGGAGTGCATTCCTGAGAAGACCGTGAGAATGTTTCAATAGCTAGTGCTTTCACAGGTGCTTGAGCATCCAAGTTGCTTTCTGCCATCTGTCCAAATCAGCACCTGAGGATGTCGGAGCTTATGCCCTTGCAGAGTGCGCTTTTCCAAAAATGGAAGATGCAGGATCATGCAGAATCGAGTAATAATAATGCATAATCTCTGTTTCTTGGGAATGGTGAACCGACTCCAGCCTTGTAGCTCTTTGCATCTCTTTGCCACTTTCTTGAGACGAGAAGGTTCCTTTTACACAAATCATCCAGGTACGTGTCTTCTTCTCGTACTTTGAAGGAACTGAGACTTTTTGACAATCACATCCTCCAGGACCGGGAGACTCTGTGTCTGAAAATGTCTCAAAGGATTCCAGAAGAGAACTTGACAGCTGGCAACACAAAAAAAACATAAAAAATCCAGTTCTACCAGTTCTACCAGGCGCATCGCTGCATTACAACTTGTCACGGCCAGGATGGCGGTGTTGCAATTGGGAATGCTGTCGCCAAGTGCCCCACTCTCAGACATCTTGACTTGGGCCGGAGCCTGAGACATCCAAAAGAGTAAGCAGAACTGACAGTTTATATTATCTTTTATACAATATCTTATAATATCTTGTAATTCTTTGATTTTATCGTATTTCTTTAAAGGTATTTAGCCGATTTTAGCCGCCTTCGGCGTGTTCTGCCGGCCACCATGGAAAGAGCTATCCTGCAAGCCGCAAACAGCGCCTGCACAGGCCAAGCAAGAACACGCTTCTGGTGTAAAACATGGTGATGGTGTTTGTGTAAAACATGGTTTTTGTGTAAGACAGCTTTTTATGCAAAACGTTTTTTTAATGCAAAAAGGGGTTTAGTGTAAAACATGGTCTATATTTCAATCAAAGCCTGTGTGTAAACCGGGGTTTTGGAAAAGGCCATAAATAGAAAGGTTACGCGTGTAAAGGCGGTCAGCCAGTGGATGGACAGGCCACCTGTATCTCAAGTATTGGATATGAGATGATATGAGAACGACGAAGCAAACCGATGGAAAACACAGCAAAAAGGGCGAAAAAACATGGACATAACAGCAAGCATGCTCAAACCAAGCATGTGTTGGGCGAGAAATGGGCATCGTAACGAAAGATGAAGACGAAAAGCACGAAGAGGACAATGACGACGAAGACAAGCTTGATCCAGTCTTGGTTTGGATTTGGGATGATTTCGACATTTTTCGACAATCTGGACTGCAAACATGCGAGGTTTGAACGAGATAGGTGATCAAGGGGCAGTTGCTGTTGCTACAGCTCAAGACTTAGAAGACTTAGACAAAGCTGTGGGGACAGTCGAAACAGTCAATATGGTCGTGGGTCTTTGGAGAGCCTCAGATATTCTCAGGCTCTCTGCGACTACAACAAGCTGTCCAAGTTGAGCATCAGCCTCAAGAATCTCAAGATGTTTTGAATTTCCCACATTACAGTCAACAGATGTCACAGCTCGAAGAAGGGAACCATGCGGCTCCATTCTGTCTCACTAATTCTGTTTTTCAGGTATTCGTGCCAACGGAATCACCAGCGTTGGCGGGAAGGCATTGGCCAAGGCAAGATATTTCCATGTTGCTCAGCGCTTTTACAATCGCAAAGACTGCACTGATCCTACACATTGAGTCATTGTGTTAAAAGAAATCCCTGGAAAGATTCTGACGTTACTATTTCAGAAGGTCTAGCAACAAATCCACAACCTGCAGGAATTTAATCCTCCTTTGCCTTCGCTTTTTAACTCAGAAGTGAAGACTCCAACATAAAGCTTGCAGATGGAAGGGATAATGAAAGGATAAGATGATGGGATGGACCTAAAGGTCCCTCGTTCTTTCTTTATCTTTCTTTGACATCCTTGTCACACAACCCTTAACCACACCGGAGACCTATGAGAACAGAAAATGGACATCCCTGGAAGGGTCAGAAGCTCTGGCATTGAGACTCATTGGTTTGGCTCACGCTTGTACTGTGTCGAGGCACTGCGGAAAGACTGCAAGCTGCGATCATTGGACCTCCGAGCAGCACCCCCGGTTTCCAGTGGCATGCTTCAGTGTCCCCCAAAGGCATCAAATGCGCTGCAACGATGGCACGGTAGGATCAGAAAAAAGCTGGATCTCTTTTTATTCCGCACCGTCAAGCCCATATTTTGTTGCTTTGGGATGCGGAATGCTCATTTTTCTCATCCGTGTAACAGTGCAGGAGGCAATCCGAGTCGCGAATGTATTGGAAAGACTGGGTGTGGGAGAAAGTCTATGAAAGTCTGTGGTTTGGAGAAAAAAGTGTTGTAGAACACACATACGAACACATCATAAAACCATACCGACCATACCCTCAGCCGGGCCACAAATCAGCGGGTAAGGTCAATCGCCTGCGGGATGATGCAGTGAAGCACATCTTTGAGGCACTGCATTCGAGGGGCTGTTATGGAGTTGTTGGGATTGTTTAATGTTGTTTAATGTTGTTTAATGTTGTTTAATGATGTTTAATGTTGTTTATTATATCATATAGGTTTGTTGATGTTGGTTGCAATGTTATGCACGCCTTGCCTTTGTGAACCTAGTTTCCCCGTGAGGCACTTCTTCTCAACTCACACCTACAAGAGCTTGATCTTGGCCGTGCAGCTGACTCTGTTTCGCTTTGGACTCTGTTTCGCTTTGCTCAGATGTGCCAACAGTGTTCCTCCGGGCTTTGCAACAGCGATTCCAGACCCTAAGCTCATCAAATTCAAGAGCGACACTGTGGCAGGCAACAGCATCCGTGATGATGCAATGGAGTTTGTGGCTGAGGCTGCATAGGGCGTTCGATTGGCCCCTTTGGATTGAATATTCACTGAGTTGCGCTTCCATGTTGTCGCCTTTTGGTTTGTTGCTGCATACTTGTAGCCGTACAGCTTGACACGCAGTCTTTTTTCCTGCCTCACTGTGCAACATACTGTCTCAGTTTGTCTCAGTTTTTGTCTTGCTGTCAGAAGCCATTGGCAGAAACATGAGCCAGTAACATTATGATCATCATTATGATCATGCAGAATCATGCAGGTCATCCTGAAGAACAAATTCATCACCAAGCTCAGTTTCGAGGTTTTTTGGCGCACCTGAGTTAGGGTCAAAGAGGCAGCCAACTCTTCCCCATCAGCTTCCACCAAGCAAAGGCTTAAAACATGTTCAGGAATCCATGGAAGATGCAGGGTATGAAGATGGGGTGAGCGGAGTGCCACATGGTTGGGGCAAAAAGTTTTTTTTGGCACAAGATGCAGGGGCATGTCTGCTGTTGTCCTGATAGACTGTGGTTCGCGCCAAGTCTGAATTCAAATTCAATACCTACTCGTGCTGAGAGGTGTATTTGCTGTTTGCATGTATTTGCGACTATCGGCATCCGAATGAAGCCGCCGGTTGAAAGTGCTGACATGTTTTGCTATGTTTTGCTGCTTATCAGGCAGCCTCTGCATTTCCACCACAGTCTCGTGTCGGCGTAGAACAAAATGTGAGCCAAGGACAACTACTTCACAGATGAAGCTGCAGAGGTGCTGTGATCCGTGGCCACTAAAGACCTTGGATTTGCAGATTGTCACTCACTTGTTCAGTGTCCATTGTCCATTGATTTTCTTAGTCTTTAGCTGATGTGGCTTTTGGATGCTTTTGGGCTTGTCATAAACCTAGCAATATGTAGCCTTCAACCTTCCTTGGCTCTAAAACGGAGCTTAGTGCTCCATTGTCCTTTTCTGCCGGGTTTCACAGGTTTCTTCATTGCTATACTGCCCACCGCAGGTCTTCTTGAAATTGTTGCAAAAAGCTGAGCACCTGTCCATGACAGAGGCAGGGATTGCGGTGGCTTTTGCGCAGTCGAATTTGGCATCGTAAGTGGCCGTCCTGTGTATTTCTTTCTTCAATGACTTGACATGTCAGTTTACTATCCACAGCAACTACATTTCGGAGATCAAGCTTCAACAAATTGATCTGCCGTGGCCCCAAACTGCTGCAGACTGTTCAGGTACAGGTAGCATTTTGCGGAGTGAAGTTTCTGAAGCACAGGATTTGCTTGCGCCGAGGTTTATGCGCACACATGCGCGGGAGTTGCAGAAGAAAAAGCGAGAGAACAAACGACAAAGGACTTGAGTCGCAGAGGGTGAGGGAAACATAATTGTAGCAGAACAGTCCGGGTTGGCAGGAGCACTAAGGCCCAAAAATCGCGCAACATGCAGCTTGTGGATGCTTGCGGATTATGTAAACGTGGCTGGCCATTCACCTCTTCAGATTCTTCAGGCGGTCAGCATTGACTGCTACCGTCCCAAGCCAGGAGCCAGTCGAATGTGGGAGTAGGCCATGGCCATGATACTCGAGATGAGTGCGAGCCTTTGTAGCAACGCTTTGCCACTTCGACTGTTTGAATTTAAAGATTTATATACAGTAGATAAATCAAGTTTAAAACATTGCTTTTATTTCTCTTGCAGTAGGTGTTGTTCAGACGCCATAAAACAATTCCCCTTCCTGAAGTGACTCATTCACAGGTCAAAGAATTCTGCAGGGCGGGGCTCTCATGCTCCAAAATCAGTTGAGTGCTTCCTGTGTAACACCATTGATGTTCTTATCTGCAATTTATTGATGCTTCCTTGTGCAAAATGCAAAGACTCTGTTGCAGCGCTTTTGTTTTCATAAGGCGCCAGTCCAGTGGCAGTCACTCTCGGAGTACGTCCAGGACGCCATTTGACATCGAGTCAAGAGGCCATAAAGATTCATTCTCTATGCAGATCATTATATAATATTATTTAAGGGCTGCCGCCCCTGCCGCCGACCCCGGAAGCAAGTATGGTGGATTAGCTACATTTGGTTACTTGTTGAAGCAGGGAAATTCTTTGTACCAGCTCAAGAAACATACGCAATTGCACCCTGCGAGTCGTAGATTCCGGGGTGCAATTTTTGAAGAAGCTGGGCACCTTGGTATAGGGATTTTGCTGGTTCAACAAGTAGCCAAATGTAGCTGATCCACCATACGTGATTCTGGGCAGTTAAGATGCAACACCTAGCTATTGAACATTGCCATAGAAAGAGTGGATTTATCTATTAATCAGGAAACATAGTGCTTTTCTATTGCAAAGTGTCAGTTTACCAGAGAGGTAGCCATGTCTAGTTCGGTTTTTGTATGTTTACCAGGCGGGGTACTGGCAGGATTGTGATATAACTAACAGCTTGCGCTGGAAAAGCACGATGATTAAGCAGTAAATTGACTATTTCTACGATATGGGTAGGATGAATAAATCCACCCATGAAAAGAATGTATTATATAATATTATATAGTTATATAATATAAGTTACAGATGGAAAATCACCAGCCACCACTTTCAATGGGAAAAGTCACTATTTCTAGAACAATAAATAACAATATATAACAATTATATTTATATATGACATAACATATATAATATAATAGAATATAATTACTAGATACTACATAGATATTACATAGGCACTACATATATACTATATTACACATCCTTCTCATTCATTGACATCCGCAATGGGTGGTTTCCTGCCACGGACCTGGGTGTTGCCCGCCTTGGTGACACTGGCCGCGGCCGCCTTCCGCCCTCCTTGCGTTCCACTGGACGTTGCCACGCCATACCAAAGCACATGGAGTTGCAGCTCGGAAGCCATGGGCGGGTGGAGTATTTACCAAGATATCCCAATCAGATCCCAAGAAATGGGATATAGAATGGATATAGTGGAGTATTCCACTGGATCTTATTTGATATTGGTATACTTTGAGATCATGACTCTGATTCTTGAACTCATATTTAGTAACAATAATAGTATAATAGTAATATCCCAAGATATCGCAACATGGAATGTGTGGATGATGGGCTTGGGTCAACATGGGGCATTTTTTTCGGGAATGAACTCAGACATATATGGGACGTTTGAATGGATATGTTATTTGCGATTTGTTGACAAACTATTGGATCTTGTGGGTTTCTAATATTGGTTTCCCTGAAGCATTGGGTGCCCCAAAATTTGATGGTCGACCAGGTGTTTCCCATGGTGTTTTCCGCCAATTTGAGGCATCGCTTTTTGACACACCGTGGCATATTCTGGCCATGTCTGGCCTTTAATGGGGAACAAGTACAATTGAACGAGAAAACATATTTGAGGTTCCCAGTTCTGAGACGAGGCGGTACAGGGTCAAGACGATGTTCAATGATGCTGGGGATTTTGATAACAAACAAGTTGGAGGAACGCATGAGAAAGAAAGGGGATGTCCGGGATGTCTAATTGTCTTCAATAAATTAGTCGAAACCAGTGCTTTTCTCATATGAATAGGAGATGAAACATCCACAACTAGAAGCTATTCTGATGTTCACCCAAGAGAGACCACTTCCATTCATGCCCGACTTACTCTAGTTACTGTAGTTGTTTCATCCCAAAGATGTGATGGTTGCGATGGAGAGTCAAGAACGGGTACCCCCTACCAAGCTGGTTACTTCCAGATTTCCTAACCTAGGGGGGCCACCATGGGGAGGATTGTGATATAACTAACAGGTTGCTCTGGAAAATCACGATGATTAATCAGGAAACCACTATTTCTATGGCCATTCGCAATTGCTATGTTAGTTCACCAGAGGGTATGGCATGAGAGCACCATGGTTCGACACAGGCTCATATGACATATCGAGACGCATTGGACAAAAAAAATATATAAGAGATATATATATATATATAATTATATAATACACATATGAATATGGGTAGCCTCAAGGTTCCTGCATAGCTAGAACCGATCGGGCGACTGTTCACTTTTTGGGTGGCTGCCCCATCCAACTTTGCTGGTGATGGGTGTTTGCATCTCCGTTTGCAGCCGCGGCTTCGTTCATGTCACTAAATTTGGGATGGACGAAGGTAACGTCAATTTAGTCACTGCTCAATGATACAGATAGAGTTGCTTCACTGGTGACATGTCAGGACAAACATTGCAAAGACGTTGCTAGTCATCAGGGATGTGTTATTACAAACGTTCTTGTCATCCATTATCCTAAGTGTTCCAGAATGGCGCAGCCGCGTCTCTTTGGCTTGCACGAGCGTCGCTATTGTGCATTGCGAGAGCTTGGGGCTTTGGTCTTTGATGAGGGTGGCAAGGTGCAGGGAGTCTTGTTGCCCGAGAGCGTCTGAGCGTAGGGTTCTTCCAATAGTGGGGGTCTGGGAAACGTTTTCGCCTGTTTTCATGTTCATGTCTTCTCGTCTGCACGGCTTCGTCTTCAAAGCTTCTCATCTTCACATCTTTGCATCTTCGCATCTTCTCCTTATCTTCTCTTGTCATCTTCACATCGTCGCATCTTCTCATCTTAACCTCTTCTCATCGTTACATCTTCTCATCGTCACACCTTCTCATTTTCATATCTTCTCCTCATTTTCTCATCTTGACCTCTTCGCTTGGCCTCGTACTCTCTTGCCTTCTTGCCTTCGGCTTCTTTTCGAAGTCGCGTTTGAAGGTGGGAACAGGGGCAGTGCTAACGAGATGGCACGGAAGGGAACCTTTTCGTATGAAATGAGGTGTGAGCGCCAAAAAACGGAAGCAAAACTGCCATGTCAAGGTGTTCCACACCATCCTTTCGCACGCTTTGAGGTTCGAGAGCAGAAGAAATTGCGGTAAAATTGCGCAGTGTGTAAAAGCGTCTCTGTGTAAAAGGGTGTGTGTCCATCCTGGCATGACTACCGAATGACGGATAAGAAATCTTAATATTGAAACATCCAAGGAACACTAGCCGCAAGAGGATCTGTCCTTTGGGAGCATTTTCACTAGAAGCTTCTGTGTCTGAAAGCGTTTGTGTGTATAAGTGTTTGTGTGTCAAAGCTTGTCTGTGCAAAAGCGTCTGTGTGAAAAAGCGTCAAAGATACTTGTTCTGTACATCGAAATGTTGTCTGAACCACAATTTCATGTGCTGCCCCATTGGTTGTTGTTCATGCTTGCCACACCATGTTTTTCCCTACATTGA